CAGCCCCCTTGGGTTGGCATAAGGTCCAGGAGAAAACCAGGGGCCTTCGGGTAACACACGTGGATTTGCAAAGGCTCCTGTCCCCGCTGGGATTCTGGCAGAGCCCCAGGGAGCTGCTCTCTCCGGAACCTGCAGGCGTGTCCCCTGCCTCTCCACACCCCAGGGGTTAGCCTAGAGCCAGGCAGAGACTCTCTTGGAGTTTGCCTGGTAGAGATCGACCTCTGACCTCACGGAGCCCAGTCTCCCGCCCGCCATGCCTAGAGGATGCTCAACCTTCAAACGCGCCTCCCAGGCTCCCCAGGCTGTGGGTATCGGTCACTTCCTGAGCTGCCCAGGAATCTGAAACAAGACTCAGTATCTTGAAGGAGACGAGAGATGGGGACGCAGCGAGCCCTCGGTTTCCCTCACTGGCTCTTCGAGGAGCCACTTTCTCGTTGTGGCAAAGAGGTGTCAGGACCATAGAGCCGCCTGGGTCCGTTTGGGAAGCACATTTCGTTTTGGAAAGAGAAGGATGCTGCGTTCGGGGCGGGGGAAGGTTTCCTCCGCAGGTGGCTGCAGCTGCCAGGAGCGGGTTCAGGAGTGAGCAGGGGCGAGGCGGCCGCTTCCCTTGCTCTGACTCTCGGCGTGGGCAGAGCAGGCCGCGCTGTGGGCATCACAGCAAGGCAGCAGCGTCCCCGGGGTCCTGACCACCCTCCCCAGAGCCAGGGAAGCTGAGAGGAGTGTCCAAAGGCGATGGTGCGGCTCCCGGGCGCTTTTATTGCTGCAGAAAGTTCTCGTGTGCCGCCACTCCCCTGCGCTGAGCGGGAAGGCGCAGGTCTGTGGGCACCTGCTCTGGTCCCAGCGTCAGCTCAGGTGACAGGCGGGACAGGTTGGACGTTGTCTTAGTGTGCTCAGGCTACACCGGGTGGCTTCCAAACCGCAGACATTCCCGCCACAGTTCTGCAGCCTGGGGGTCCAGACCAGGCGCCCGCCGATCCGATGTCTGAGTAGGGTCCGCTTCCTACCCCGCCGTCTCCCTCTGTTCTCGCATCCCAGAGGGCACAAGGGTCTCCCTGGAGCCTCTTTGCTAAGGTCACTGACCCCATTCACGAGGGCTCCACCCTGGCGACCTGAGCATCTCCCAAAGGTCCCGCCTCCTGACACCCTTGCACTGGGGCGTAGGTTTGGACATGTAAATTTGGAGGGACACAGACGTTCAGACCGTAGAAGCCCACGTGACACCTGGGTTCAGGTGCAGTCGTCACCTGACCCAGCACGCAAGCTCACACCTGCAAATGGAGACGTGCTTCGGGGCCGGCTGCACTCGGTGCCAGGTGCTGTGGGGTGTGGCTCGTCCTGGTGCTCAGCTAACGGTGGGTCGGTGGGTGCACGGGTGGGTGGGTGACTTGAGCCCAGAGGTGTCATCTGGAGTTGTCCAGGAAGCCGTCTTGGAGGGGGCTGCCTGATGTAAACAGGAGGCGTCAAATTTCGATCTGCAGAGAGCTTCAGCGGGGACCAACCTTGTGGTCCCCCATCTTCCTCCCTTGTCCGCCAGCCGGGTGCTGTCCCTCCTCCAGATCTTCCCCAGGCCCCAAGTCCCCACGGGGGACCTTGGCCCGCCTCACGCCCCCCCTCCATCCATGCCAGAGCCGTGCCTGAGCGCACCGGGCCGTTCCTCACACGTCCCGTGTTGGTCTTTACGCTGCTCAGAGGCTGGGGCACGGCATTCATGCCCCACACTCCCCGAGGGACCTGGTAGACAGCTCCGCCTGCTGCACCCACACAGCCCCCCAACCTCTCAGGTACCTCTGGGCAGCTTGGGCCTGTGGGCGCATCCAACACGGGCCTCTGGCACGAGACTGGGATCGTTGTCAGGCTCCTGCAGGTGTGGTGTCCTGATCCTCCTCACTGCGTGTTCCTTGAGGAGTTCGTTCCTGGTGTGTGGGGTACACCCACCCGGGCACTGAGCAAGGGCACGATGCCCCCAGGCCTCCAGGTCTCCCTGACGGGGCGGGTGCAGGCGCTGGGCGCACGGAGGAGCTGTCTGATTCAGTGCAGGTGGGGATGGGAGGGTGCGGCAGACACGAGGGGCAGGCTGGGGATTTGGGGTGCGCCTCTGGCATGGGTCTCCACCTGCTCCGTGGTGAACGTGGGGGTGGGAGGAAGACTTGGTGCTCGGCAGAGTGCAGTGCCTGGGCGTTGCTGTATCTTCACCATCATTCGCGGTGCCGTTGCTGATACGTACACCCGGAACCGGAGGAGACAGCCCCGCACTCTGCCTGCCCTATGCATCCAAACCCGCACCGAACGCCGGCTCGACAGCACTGAAATGCCACGTCGAACCTGGTCCCCTGTTCTTCCTCCAGAAGACACCTACCAGGCCTGGGCCAGCAGTGGCAGAGGGTGGCAGGTGGCTGCTTCCTGTGCAGTTATGACAAGTAAATGCACATTGTTCTCATGTGCATTATAAGCCGGGATGTTTTGGTTGGAATGAAGCAAGTGGCCTTGCTGCTGTGTGGGTGACCAAGTTTGAGTTCCAAGAGCTTTTCTTTGGAAGCGTTAGCCTGGACTCACTGCTAGATGGCCCTCTGTCAGGTTATTTTCTGCAGCTGTCCTGGGTGTGCACTTGTTTGTGTCTGATTGTACATTTATGTGGGGGGCTTAGGCGACCTTCACGGTGAGCAGTCTGCTATTTGCACAAAGGTTGTAGATAACTGTTTTTCCAACAATAGTAATCCCAACAGTGAAACGATGTGCCTGGCACTGCTCTGAACCTTCACACCAAACCCATTTCACAGATGGGAAAACCGAGGCCCACGGATTGAACATATAATGCCCAATATCACCCAGTACAAGTCTGGAATTTGAACCAGGCAGCCTGGGCCCTCCATCCCTGTGGCAGCACCCCTCCGTCGGCCTGCCAGGTTCACCTCAGGTGTTCAGCCAGGGCCGACCCACAGGAGTGGGGGAGAGACACCCTGCCCTTGTGTGCACGGAGGCCTGGCTCTGCTACGGAGGCAGCACAGCCATCGGGGCCAAGAGAAGGGGGTGTCTGGCTCAGCCCGGGCAGCCACAGCATGGGTCGGAGAAGTTTTGCTGAGCCCACACCACTTAAGTCGAGCGCTGAAAGCTGAGCCAAAGGTGGGCCGTGGCGGGAGGAGGCACTTCGAACATCTGCCTCTCCGACCGAATATGGTCAGAGGCACACCTGTCCCTAAATACCTCCTTCCACCTTCACGCCCAGCAGAGCCACAGCTCCAGAGCTGCTCACATGGCTTTGGGCAGAGGCCGTCTGGCTGCTGAAACCAAGGTGGTCATCCTGATAATCTCTGAGTCGCCTTCAGGGTCATTTTTTCCCTCTCCTTGAAGACTAGCTCACGCCCACAGCCCTAATAGCTCCATCACCTGCCCCTGTCAAGTCCGACAGTCGTCCTGCCTCTTGTCCCATCTCCGTCCTGTCAGTTTGAACTGGCTGTGTTGCTGCTTGTGTGATCCCACGCTTGTGATCTGGTGACACTCCAGCCGCACCCTCGGGGTTTGTGTTTTGCAGCAGGGGTAGGCTTGCTCACCTTTTGCCACACGGACAGCCCGAGAAATTTCCAGATCTTCAAGTTCCGGTTCAGAAATTCCTTCTTCAATCCATCTTTCCTTTTGCCTTTTACTATAAGCAGTCAGGAAGAGCCGGCTGCTCCCGCCACGCTTTGCTTAGAAATCTCCTTGGCTAAACATCCAATTTCATCCCTCATAAGGGTCTATCTTCCACAAAACGCTAGAACACAATTCAGCCAAGTTCTTTGCCACTTTATACCAAGGATCACTCTTGCTCCAGTTTCCAGTGAGATGTTTCTCCTTTTCCATCTGAGATCTCACCAGAATCACTTCCACATGCGCGTTTCCAGCATGGACCTCCGATCGCTTCCAGCCTCTGATTCCAGCCTCTGCTCGCCCGTTACCTGGTTCCAAGGCCATTTCCACATGGCTTGATGTTTGTGACAGCAGCACCCCACTCCCGGTACTGAAACGTGTATCAGTCAGCAATGGATTGTAAGGAACTGGCTCGCACGATTGTGGGGCTGGCGGGTCTGGGATCTGCAGGGCAGACTGGAAACTCAGGCAGCAGCTGATGCTGCAGTCTTGAGGACGGATTTCTGCTTCCACAGGAAACCTCAGTTTTTGCTCATAAGGGCCTTCCAGCTGATTGGCTAATTCCACATTATCATTCGACGTCAACTCGTAGATGTGTGTGTTCCTCCAGACTGGCATCAGAATGCCTGGCTCTTCTTTGGGTGCCTACGTGTTGGCTCTGAGACCAAAATCTTCCCCTCTGGGGCACTGTGAGCCTTGCCCATGTGGCCCCTGGTTCTGGCCTCCCTTTGGGGCCTTCCGGGGGCCCCTGGCTTCACCTACCGGGGTGTTTCTGCATGTCGAGGATCGTGATGCATTAGGTAACAGGTCTGTAGGGCCTGGGTTAGGACAATTTTCTGTAGGTGTTGGTTTTGATGCCACCCACCGGGCTGAGCATACGTCTGTGGGAGGAATTTTTCCCACTGAACTGAAATTTGAAGAGTTTTAGATGCTTTTTTGAGGTTTCCCCCTCTCTGCATTTATGGGGTCTGGCTTGTATCTAATCAGACAAAGGAGACTCCCCGGTGGTGTGAGACTCAACCAGTTGAGGCTTGTGGGGAACACAGGACATAGTCGATTGGGGGGAGGGGCGTTCCGAGTTCTGGCTTTGCTGAATTCACTGCCACCGTATAGATAGTTTCCTCCCTATGCCTTCTGCACAGAGGCACTGCTCACATAGGTCCTAGTGCAGTGATAGCCGTGCCATCGTAAAATGACCAGGAGTTTTGCGAAAAGCAAGTGTGACGTTTGGCAGAGCGAGAAAATGCACCTGCCATTTCGAGAGCTGCAACTGTGCTCCTTGTGGCATGAGGCCTTCAGTGATGTAAAAGTATATTTAAAAAAAAAATCGTCGTTCTGCAGGTGACACTTCATTTAATATGATTTCTGCTTCACAGGTGGCGATCATCGCAGGCAACTTTGAACTGGCAGAGTACATCAAGAACCACAAGGAGACGGACATCGGTGAGTAGCCTTGCTGATCGGAATTCGGTTTGGCTAAGGAGACTTCACCAGCTTTTCAACATTCTCCTAAGATTGGTTCAGAGCCTGCTTTCTAGCAGGACTTAACGGAGAGCGTTTTGCATCTCAGTCTTGCGTTTTTTCAGCTTATGGTAGGGATGGGGCTAAGGAAGACCCTGGAAATCAGGCCGTTGACATGTGCAGCCTTCTTCTGCAGGTGAGGTTCTCATCTCCGACAGGCCGCGTTTCCAGGTCTTTCCACACTAAGATCGTTGACTTGGCGAAGTGGGCAGAGGAACAGGAAATGCTTAATTTATGCTAAGGGTTGGCTCTGGGATTCTCTCTCCGATTTGTGTATCTGATTTCCCCAAATCTTGGTAAAAACTGATAGGTGCCCAGACTCCTAGAATGTACGCGCCCAGGAGTGAGCCCTAAAGTGCACGGTGGGCTCTGGGTGCTGAGGGGGGCCATCGGCTGCACCAGCCGCTGTACCAGCGCGTGGGGGGGGTGCCGGGAGGCCATGCATGTTGGTGGCGGGGGTGGCGTTGGGTACATGGGCAAGCTCTGTTCCTTGTGTCCAATTTTACTATGAACTTAAAACTGCTCTAAAAATGTAGCATCTTTTTTTTTTTTTTTTTTAACAAAATATGAAAAGAAATCAGGCGGGAGAACTTGCTAGGCGTCAAGGGATGTAGGCATTGCTCTTTGATTGGAGAATTGTTTGTTTGCAGCTGACTTAGATGTGTTCCTTGGAAGAGTCTGTAACCTGCACGCTTCCATCTAGGCGAGAGCTGGCGGCTAGGCGAGGAGGGGAGAGCCAGCACGTCCTCTCCCTTCCCCTCCGGTCGCCTACGCTTCCCCTCGATTGATGACCGCTCCCCTTTCTAGTACCTCTTGTGCCGACCAGGAGGGCAGTCTCTGGGGCTCGCCCTCCCTCCCGTCGCCCTGCCGTGGGCTGGGCCCAGTCTTGCACCGTGGACGAGCCCGCTGGCCTGCTTCCTCCCGCCCCGGGCCTCCACCGGACCTGCAGCGGGGAGCAGTCCCGTTGGACCAGCAGCGGTGAGCTTTCGAAGACGGCACCATCCCATCCACGGGGCCCGGGGGGACCTCCCGGGGGCCTTGAGAAGCAGCCACACGGCACCTGCCTCTTACTGCCTGTGTCCCCACCCTGTTTTTGGCATTGGGGGCGAGCGAAACCATGTGTTTGGCTGTCACGTCTGCACCCTGTCGAATGTGTGCCTGGCATCGAGTCTGGCTGGCACCCGCCCTGCTTAGAGCACCGCACGGGCCACGGGCCAGATGCTTCGCTTGCACCACGGCGCGCCCGTGCCGGGCATCGGGGCCTCCGGGAGGCCGGGCCGATGCTGACACGTGGGCCCTCCTGTGAGCCAGGGCAAAGCACTTAATTGCTCTGAGATCCGGGGTGGCACCAGGGCCGCGTTAGCGCCTCTGTGAGCGCATTAGCGGGATTGATGGGTGAAAGCCTGCGGTCGTTTGGAACATGAACTGAGCTCTCGGAACGCAGGCGACTGTCTTCCTCCCTCCTCCCTGACACCTGAGAGCTTGAGAGCGGGAAGATAGCTTTGGTTAGATGTTTGCTACCTACGACAGGGAACGGGCTGTCTTAAGCAGAGGCGCACAGGAGAGAAGGGAGAGGGGGGAGCCTCAGGGCGGGTCCCGCCCACGGCTGCAGGGAGGGCGCCCCTGGATGCAGAGCCCCCTCCGCCCCACAGAGTTGTCTGCGGGGGTTACGGGCTCTGGGCTGCCCTCAGGAAGCTTGCAAAGTGCTCACCTTGACCGGGACCTGCACGGCAAAGAGGGAGGCGTGAGGTGTCGTCTCTGTCCTACTCTCTGGTGGAACTCAGAGAGATCTGGGGCTGCCACCCCCCTGCCCCTAAGCCACACCCTTCAAAGTCACGGCACCCCCCCACACCTGCCACGGATACAGGGACCAGCCACTGAGATCCCCGACTCAAAAGCAAGACACCTCTCCTTCCCTGGAAGCCCTGAATTGATTTTAAAACCCACCCCGGGGAGATGTATTGTCTTTTCAGTTTTGAGTTAGGATTATTATCTTCCTTATCTGTGATACAAGCACCTCTTCACAAACAAAACCTGTTTTGCTAATATAATAAAAGTAACACCCATTTTGGGGGGTGGATCCATATTACTCGCCACTCACCCATTCTGAGCAGTGGTGTATTTAAGTGACAGACAGCATCCCTGCTAAGAGGAGGAGGACCTACAGCAGGCTCGGGTGGCTGCCGTGCCTCCCGGTGCTGGGTCGAGGTTCGAGGTCTCTGGTCTCTGTACGCTTGCACGCCGCTCCGGTCTGCGGCGAAGACGTAGGGCTGGCGTCCGCGACCAGTGATGCGGGAAGCCCATGTCCGCTGTTGTTGGACTTGGGGCTTCCCCAGGGCCCCAGATGGGAAGGAGAGAGAGTCTGCACTTCCCCACGGGGTTTCTTCTGCATATCTGAGTTGTCCAAGGGTTCGTGATCATGAACTAGCGCACTGGTGTCAGTGCAGCCTGTACCTTCTGAATCAACTTTGCTGGCCATTTCCCAGAAAGAGAGAGACAGAGACTAAGGAAATTAAGGGCACAAGGCCGAGAGTCCCCTGCAGACTCAGACACCTCTCTGTGTGTCGCTTGATCGAAGCACGGTGAGTCATTGTGAGGTCCCTGTTCAGCTAAACCCCTTGGTTTGAACCCACTTGACTCTTCCCTGTCCTGTGGCCACCCCCACGTTGCGTTCTCACTGTGTCCTGGGGGAGGGGGCAGGTGTTGAGCGTGTGGTGGGCACAGTCCCTGGCTCGTGTGTTTGCCTGCCCGGGTCGTGGCAGCTCCTGCGTGCCAGTCTGTGCCCGCTGTCTAAGGAAGCTGCCCCACTTCTGGGTGAACGGATAACCACGGTGAGCAGCCGATTCCTCGGCCTCTGAGTCATGGGCCCTCTGGGACGCTGCAGAGAGCCTTGGCATTGCGAAGCAGTTCGTGTGTCTCCCACAGGTCTCAGTTTGGGTTGGTTCTGGCCTGCGCCGCCACGCATGCTCCTTCCAGGGTCCAGAGAAGCGCCGTGCGGGGTTGCAGGTGCCTGCGGGGTAAACAGCAAGCGCCCAGGGGACACCGGCAGGGCGTCGACGGCATCTTGCATTCAGGACTTCTAAACCCACATGCTAGAGTGGCTGGCGAAGCCAGGTTTCAAACCCAAGTCCGTCTGGCTCTGGGGTGCTTCCTTCCCTCGATGAAGCCGAGAAGAGCCTTCCGCTACACGCAGGGGCTGCGGGCATCAGCGTGGGGTGGGGCGAGGCAGGCTTGGGTGTGCACACAGCTGGGCCTGGGGCCAGGGCGAGGTCGGTGGGTGGAAGGAAGAGGAGGCTTCTCGGCCACAGACCACCGACCGGATGGGTCCCTGCCACAGGTAGAAGGGGCTCTGCTCTCTGCTTCCTCTTCCAGGCTCCTCCACTCTGGGGTCACCGGGGCTAAGCACCTCCCCGCTCTGGGCCAGCTCCCCAGATGTGCTCAGAGGGGAAGGGACAGAGCTGGAGGAGGGCGTCCCAGCGGCAGTGCTGGGCCACGCCTGGTGCCTGCAGAGGAGTGGTCTGAGAATCGGTAGGTGGAGGGCTGCGGAGCGGCCCCACCGCTGTGCAGGCAGCTCACGGGGGGCCTCTCCTGGAGGTTCTCGACTTGCTCATCTTCCACGTGAGAGAGAAGTCATATTTTAGACAGAACCGGTCCTGGCTTCCCCCTTCCTCATGGGGCGGGGGGGACCTGCAGGTCTCACCTGTAGGATCAGTTATTTTCCCTGCAACTCCTGGATTCTTCTTCAACTTCCACAGTCATTTCTAACATTTCAGAGAGAGAGAAACGTCTTCCTTGACACTGGTCACCCACCATGACATATTCACCAGGCGCCGGGGAGCTCCTTCCCAGGGTGCTGTCTGCAAGGTCAGGGCCACCCAGGAGGCCTCGCAGGGGGGAGGTGCTGCCCTGGGCAGGGGGGACAGAGAGAGGGAGCAGGACAATGAGCTTTCAGGGCTGCTGTGTCACCTCCGTGGGGTCACAAAAGGAAAGAATTCTGACCTCGGAGGCTGCCATCCCAGAACTCAGCAGAACTGCGCCTGGTGTCTTCCAGCCGAGAGAGGAATCCCCACATCCCAAGGAGAGCGGTCTGCCTCGTGCTACCGAGGGGCATCCTTTCGGTGGGCAGAAGACCATGCTGTACTTGAACTTCCTTCAGCGCCAGGTCCCGGCGATGCCTGGGCTCCCGCCAGCTCCCCCACCCACCCGGCACCACCTTCCGGGGACAGCTCTCCACGAGCTTCTCCCCTGCAGCCCCTGCAGCGTGCTGGGGATTTGGAGCATTGGCTCATCTCTGGCCTCTGGGAGGGGATGACCACGGAGGGCAGTGTCCTTCTTGTCCTCCCCCACCCCTAGATCTGGAAGTGGTGTTGAAAGAACTGCAGGCCTTGTGCACCCTTCTGGGTTGGAGCGAGCTAGTCAGTTGCTGTTCAGCAAGAGGATGGCACATGCCTGTTAGAAAATGGACTCTTCCACGGACCTGGTCTCTTTGCCTGTTGCAGCCCCCACCCCTTCCTTTATGACCGGCCCCCACTTGTCCAGCTACTTCTTCATCCCCTGCCCCCGGTGAGGCTTCTGTGTTGCGGGCAGTCGACCCCCGAGACAGAGCCCGAGAGCCGCTCGCTCCTGTTCCTGATCCCGACTCTGCTCTTGACTGGCCTACGTCAAACCTCCAAGGCTCCCAGTGTCCAGCAGTGCATGTGAGGTTTGGGGTGCATCTGAGTCCCCAGGAAGCTGGTGGGAATGCAGGTGCCCAGCGCCACCCCCAGAGTCTGACTCAGTAGGTCTGGGGGGCCCCTGGACTCACCGCTCACTTCCCTGCCGTGGGAGTGATGCTGGACGTCCAAGCCCGGCTCCGCCTTTGCCTCCCGCAAGGCCAGCTCAGAACCTAAGGACGGGCCGACTCATTTCCTGGGGCTGCCGCAACTAATGACCTCCAACTGGGGGGCTTAAATAAAACCACCGGAACTTACTGTCCCTTGATTCCGAGAGCCAGAAGCCCAAAATTAAGGTGTTGGCGGGTTAGTTCCTTCCTGAGACTCTAGGGAGGGTCTTTCCTTGCCTCTCCCGGCTTCTGGTGGTGGCCGGCAGTTCTTGGCGTTCCCTGGGTTGTAGACACGTCACCCCAGCCTCTGCCCCTCTTCACGTGGCCGTCCACTGTGTGCTTCTATGTCTCAAGGCTCCTGCCCCTCTCTCTTATAGGACACCAGTCTTCAGATTTAGAGCCACCCTAAACCCAGGAGGAGACCCTATTTCCAAATAAGGTCCCAGTCACAGGTAGTGGGGGTTTGGACATGGGCACATCTTTCTGGGGCCCCCACTCAGCCCACGGCAGGGCACTCACGTCGCTTTACGGCTGTTTGTCTCTCCGGGCCGTCCCCCCCTCGTGGCAGGCGCTGACTCTGACTTCCCCTTAGCGACTCCCGTGTCGCGGGCCTCGGTGAAATGTGTGTGGGGTGAGCGGCTCCTACCCCGGCCAGTGTTCCCCCTCCAGGGCCAGCGCCCCCATGCCTGTCTTCTTGACGTGAACCTGCCTCCCCGGTCCCCGGTCCTGGGTGCGGGGACAGAGCACTCACCAGCAGGTCCGTTGCGGGGTTGAAGGTGTTTGCCGCAGGGCAATGTTCTCTCCCTCTTCAGCGTTTCTGGAGTCCCAGGGAAGCAGAGCTCAGTGGGACACGGGCGAGGAGGCGTTTGGAGGCGGTGGGTTGCGGTGGGCGTGGTGCCGTCTGTCCTTACACCAGGTATTTCTGGGGCCGTACTCAACTGCGGGGCCGCTCCGCTTTCTGATTCCGGTCTCTGTGGCTTGGCTGCCTCCTCCCGGGATTCTCTCGGCCTTCGCGGGTGCTGCGCCGACTGTCGCAGTCACGGCTCATCTGTTGTCCGTGCCTGGCCCCTCGGCCGGTGGCGAGTGACCTGCCGGATGGTCACCACCAGAGGACTTCAGCGTGTTCTCCAGGTGCCACTCGCCTGCTACCCCCAGC